TTATTTTATAAAATAAAAGTTCTGAGTGTTTTAGTCATATCTCAATAAATTATACTTACTACTTTTATGTGGATGTGTTTACATGTGCATATGGTATGTGTACATGTGTATTCACATGTGAATGGGCACATTTATGTGCAGTTAAAAATGAACACATGTGCATATGTAGGCCAGAGATTGACATAGGATGCCTTCTTGATAGCTCTGTCTCTCACAACATGGTATATTGGCTCCTCACATGAACTTGGAGCTTCCCAATTCAGCTAACCTAGCTAGCAGCTTAATTTGCTCAGGAGATCCCTGTCCCTGCCTTCTATGTGCTGGACTTATTGGCAGGCTGCCACATCACCTGGGATTTCTATGAGTACTGGAGATCTGGGTCTAGCATTCATACTTTCAGGACAAGTTCCTTAACCTCTGAGTAATCTCTCCAGCTCCATATTCTAATGCTGTGGATTCTCAGGAACAGAGGATGAATGGACCCCTACTGTGGTATCTGTGCGAACCTCTGTTTTGGCTGCCTTCACTCATATCCCATAAAGATATGCAACTTAACCTCCCATTCATGATGCTTTGAAGCCTTCAGAAGACAGAGATCTGCTTTTTAAATGCTCCTTAGCAGATCTACTGGACACAATCGTTGTGTTCTTAAAGGAAATGGAACAAGGAATTCAAACATGATATCTATAAATCGTTGGTCACATATATTTATAATTATTATGTAATATTTAATAGTAACACATAAATACAACACAGAACATATAATATCATATAACATAATGCATAATATATAAGTAATAATATAGGTATAAATAATATATATATTTGTTATATATATATATATATATTCATTAGCTATGAGTTAAAAATAATCATGGCTATTTGTCTTACATCAGAAATGCATTTAACTCCTGGTGGATAAAATAATATCGAGACCAGTATGTTGGTAGGAAAAGTTCCACGGAATAACCTCCTTTGACAGCCCTCACATTCACCGAGAAGGCTAATTGACAGTCTGTCTGGCAAGCTCCTCCCAACCCTGTCTGAGGAACTTGCAGATAATGCTTTGGAACAGGTATAATAACCCTTGTCGGCAGGCAATGTGCACAGCTGGAAACTATAATTAAGCAGAATTAAAGATGCCTACATTTCTCAGAAAACCCCAGCAATCCTGCTGGCCTCTGACTGTAAAGTATTACTAACAGACATATTCATAATCACCCTATTTAAATGGTACATGTGGTTGTGGGGAACTTCTTTGACTCCCAAAAATCATTGTAACTGACAAGCCTGAATAGTAATACCATTCTGAGGTCAGAGTAAAAGAATATGATCCTATTTAAATGTAAAGTCACCGTCAGGAATCTGGCATTTGGCTTCCCAAAGTTGATTGCCTCATTGTAGTTCTGAACATGTATGTGGACATGTTCAGCCTAAACCTGTGAGGATTCTTTAATAATTCATGCTAAGAGTGATGAGAGATGGCAATAACACACAAGGACATTTTTTGTATACACACCGAAAAGGAAATATCAAAAACAAACAAACAAACAAACAAACCAACCAAACAAACAAACCAATCAATCAAACAAAAAATCCAAAAAACCAAAAGACCAAATCAAAACAAAACAAAACAAACACCTTACTTTTGAATGATAACCTTTCTGAGTGGTAAATTTAATTTACAGGTAAGACTGTATTAGTCTTATCAAACTATCCAAACAACTGAAGAGATTACTAAGAAATTAAAACATCAGTGAGGGCTGTCAACTCATGTTCTGCTGTCCGGGTTTGGTTTATAGGATTAGGGATCAAGAAAGAGAACTGTGACAAGGTCTTGTTTCTCCCAAGCAAGTCTGGTCTCTTTTGACTCAGTGTTCTCTAGACAAACAGCTATACTTGCCAGAGATCCCTGCTCTCTTTCCTCCAGTCAAGCCTCAAACCAGATCGTGCAGCCTAACCACTAAGTCTTTTCTTAAGAGCAGATTCTCTCTGCTTCATTTTGGTAGCCTCCAGCTCTGCGTCACACCAGTGGAATCTGTTCTTGCCAAAAGACATGTAATCTGATAAACGCTGCACCATCATGGACTCTGGAATGTCTCAGTGAGGTAGTAAAAATTATACTAAGTTAGGGCTTTTAAAAAATAGTGTTGAATAAAAATTATATTTAGGTGTCTAACAGATACACAATCTACTAGGATATAGACATGCAGTATAGTTAATTGAATATCCAATATCAAAAAGAACTGGTAGAAAATATGGAAAGATACTTTATGGTAGGAAACACAAATTAAAACAATGTCAGTGCGATGCTTCTGTACCTTCACTGGCATCTGTAAAATGAAAATGGCTGGGCCAGTGAGGTAGCTCAGAGTATACAAGTGCTTCCTGCTAAGCTTATCCACACTAGCTGGATCCTCAGAGCCCACATGATACAGGAAGAACCGACAACTTGTCCTTTGACCTCCATACATGGGCTATGGGACAATCATATGTATATCAACATGCCTGTGTATGTGTGTACAGATAGATAAATGTGGAAACAATTGTACAATGTAAAAAGGCACAGTGAGTGCTATCAGATGGTAGGTGAGGCCTGAGAGTCTGCTCGTGGGTATATAATGTGACATGCCCCTCTTGAAAACCATTACCAGTTGGTTACAACCATGGTATTCTTAAATATTTGTCCAAGGGTAGTAAAAGCAGCCATCCATCCAAAGACTTGCTCAAAAACTTGTGTGTGACAGATTTAGTAGTAATTGCCAAAAGATGGAAATACTCCAAATGCCCGGTGTAAGTACATCTGTACGTATTTGTGGGGTAAACCTACGTGATGGAGTAGGTTTCTACACATGCAAGAATAACCGGTCACATATGCAACAACGTGGCACAGATGAGTCTGAATTAAGAAGTCAGAAATGGGGTATGGAATTGGCTTCGTGTGCGAATACGGGAATGGAGAGGAGAGGAAGACTGTGTGACTGTTCAGTTAGAAATGATGATGTTTGAGAACGAAGTGATGGTGAGGCAGGGGTCACGGCCCTGTGTTGTGTGAACACCTCAAGTCTCTCTGGGAATTTTCACCCAGTAAGTCAGGATTGTGTGAAATGTGGCACTTCAGGAACTGGATATGAAGAAACAAGCTAATTGTTTAGTGCTGAGGTTTGGACAACTCCCAATATGCCCAAGAAAGGTAGCCATCAGATGAATTGTATACTTAAAGTTCACTTCTTCGTTAATGTTGTACTTAGGGTTTCTATTGCTGTGACCCTTACGGCCATCACTGAGGGAAGTCAGAGCAGGAGCTCAGGCAGGACAGGAACCTGGAGGCAGGAGCTGGAGCAGATGCTTTAAAAGAGTGCTACTTACTGGCTTGCTCCTAATGGCTTGTTCCTAATGGCTTGCTCAGCTTGCTTTCTTAGAGCATCCAGGACTACTAACCCAGGGAAGGCATCATTCACAGTGAGCTGGGTCTTCCCATGGCAGTTATGCAAGAAAATGGCCCACAGGCTTACCAACAGGCTGATCTAGTTGGGGACATTTTCTCAATTACGATCCTCTCTTCCGAGATATGTCTAGGTTTTTATCAAGTCGACCCAAAAAAATCAGCTCAGTTAATAAGAATGGATTCTAACAGAGGACAGTGGGAAACAAAGAAGACAGCATCTCAAAAAATATATATTTCCACAGCTGCTTCTCCTGTATCAGTGAGAACAGTCAAAGATAAGGCTGGGAAAGGAAGAGAGTGTGAAGGAATGCCTCCTTGCAAAGAGGAGGGCACTGATTTAGCAAGTGGAAAACTTGCAGAACATTGCTTACTCAATAATCCTGTCATGCTGTCATCTCTGTGGTTGGGCATATTTAGTCACCTGATCCAAACTTCCACAGCAAAACAGAAAATTTCGTGTCACTTGCTGGTTAAAAGCACTATCACTGAAGATTCTATTCCAGTATCTGTCCTTAGAAGACACGCAAACTCTGCGAATCTGAGAAACAGGATCATCAATTCCTGGCTGGCCAGGTTGTTGTATGAGTCAAGATGGAAAGAGCTGGATACAGAAAGCACTTAGCATTGCCTCCGATGCACAGTGAGGGGTTTAATTGTTCCTCCTCTACATCATGTTCTTCTCTCTTGCTTTCCAAATTCATCTCATCTTCCTCCTCCTGCTCCTCTTCCTTTTCCTCTTCCTCCTCCTCCTGCCCCTCCTCCTCCTTCTCTTCATGATGTTTAGGTATCTACTGTCATTAGCAGTTAGAAAAAGCTTTAGTCTCCTAATCAACCACCGGAAAACAAGGGCACACATCAGTGGTTTCTCCAAGGAGTAATTGTGACATTACTTGCAGTCATCTGGTTCATCCTCTGGTGATTTATCTGCATATGTTATCACATTAGTCTTTGTCTTACATTTTATGTAAAAGGATTATGGCTCAGAACAAGAATGAAGCAATGACTAAGAACTTTGGTCCTACCTGTGTCCTAGTTTCTGCTTAGTTAAATAATTTAAGTTTACAGCACTTAAGTGTTTTCAATTAAATAAAAATGAGAAAATAATAGTTATCTAAAGGTATTAGTTATGCCTGAGTAGAATCTATTTACTAAGTACAAATTTTGTAGACAGTTAATTGGGTTGCATGAGTTAGTGTATACTTGCAGATCTGACAATAGTGTATTAAAATAATATCCTTTCAGACAAGTGGAGACTCACTGACAGAGCTAGACTTTAAAAAGAAATACTTGCTTTTATTATAGAGCATAGTTCTATTTGCCCCATCTTCCCCCTGCCTCACGATGTCTAGGCATCTGCCATATTGCCATTTGTAGTTTTTAAAAAGCTCTAATCTCATATTCAGCCATTAGAAAAAAAGGGTACACATCCATGTTTTTTCTTTGTTGTATTTACTAAAAAAACAGCCCACTAGTTCAAATCCCAAGCCATGTTCATATCACCAGTGACCATTACATTCTTTTGGAACTAAGTGAGACTTTACTTGTTTTTCAGGCTTTGGGGACTTGAATCTCCATGATCAGGTCCACCTTCTTGAGTGTGCCTGGCTGGAGATTCTGATGATTGGTCTCATCTGGCGCTCCATGGAACACCCTGGGAAGCTCCTGTTTGCACCTAACTTGCTCCTGGACAGGTGAGTATCCAGGCTGTGGCCTGGAGAAACATCCTTTATAACCACTAGTTCGTATCCAAAGGTCTCATAGTCCATGGATTGTCAAAGAGTTGTATAGCTACATTTACTAATGAACGTATAAGTCCAGGTAATACACAGTAGACATGTCCATGGAAATCTAAGCCTTGCTGTCTGCTTGCCATCGTCTTGATGCAACCCTAGCTCTCTAACACAAACACATAACTACAAACTAGGAGTTTCCAACTCTACCTTTATCTTCTGATATGTGTGTATATGCATATACATATACATCATATACATAATCTCTTGGTGCCTTTGCACCAAGACCACAATGGCCTATCAAATTTTTTCTCTAATTTTTTCATCTTTGCAATGAGGAAGTTTGGCATGAGAGTTCTGAAGGCCATTTGCAGTTCTAGGAATTAATTTCAGTTTTCAGCTCCCTTGTTTATCATATTATACTGGGTTGCCTTGGACTGTGGTCCCTGATACTTTTTTTTTTTCCAGTAATTTCTTAGAGTGATAGGATTTAGATATTATTCAGAACAGCACCAATGGAAACCCTGCCCAGTACCAACTGCTATGCTGAGTAGTTTTCTAATTGCCTCCTGTAAACATCACATCACGCCCAAAGATGCAGGAACCCTCTCATCTCGATTTTTGCCAGAAAAGGAGCTGAGTCTTTACACCTGTCAAGACTCCTGGAGCAGAGTTATCCAAGATTTAAGTGAGAGAGAACTGTGGAAGTAGTTTATTTCTGCTTTAATATATAATTTAATTTTTAGGAAACTTTGATACTTCCTTAGAAACATATTTTGCTGTTCATAAAACATTTCCCCAAAACACGAGGAGAAGCCATTAGCCTTTTTCCTTAGAACTTCATCTATACTGTTGTACATCTATATATCTATTTTGTCAGACTGTAGAGATGTCTTTGTAATGGTAGACCCACGGCCCACTTTCATGCTTCTTTACCTTCTCCTTCTTAGATTTGGTCATTTTTTCTTGCCCTCCCCCCTTTTTTTGAACTCTAGGCTGGCATGTGCTCTCAGTGTTTAAGCTTTTATGTGTCCATAACTGAACTGATGTGCTTTATGAATGCCTTTGTCACCGTTATCGTTACCTCTCTTCTTAGGTTCCTATGTGCTTACTGAGAATAGTCATAAAAGATTGTAGTTTGCATATAAAGGACTCTCAGTTTACCTCACTCAAGGGATGTCTTCTGGGGATTCCTCAATCTCTTACTTTCCTTTCCTTGTATTTCTGTTGTGGATAATTTCCCCATCTTGTCTCAAGGAAGTTTACTCATTTCTACCTAAAAATAAATAAATCCAGAGTTGGACTTTCAAATTATTCTAGATGAGGATTTCTCTGCCTCTGCATGGTTACTATCTGGGACCATTCTTTTTTGGGGGGTTGGAGCCTGTTTTGTGTCTTGTAGGTTTTGGTAGCACTCCAGGAAGCTACTTCCTACATCTTGGTAGCATCCCATCCAGAGTATGACAGAATGTCACGTGCTCATCACTTTTAGATGTTTCCTGTTTATGAGACGTGTTGGCTGGAGGACAAATTGTGGAAAACTCAACTTCTCTAGATAGTCCTGTTATTGTCTCAGATACACTGGAGATTCATGCCCAATACTGGATGCATCATCTTTCTTATCAATTCTGATTCTTGGGTTGTTTTTGTTTCTGTCTTAGTGACATTACCTCATGGATAAATTACAGCTTCTACCTCTTCCATTAACAGATTGTCTAGTGACCTCTCAAGTGTTCCTCTGGATGGCTGAAACCCTCCATATACTCTCATCTTCTGCTTGTGTACTTCTCCGTCTGTGTCTCGATTTCTTGTTTGAACTCCTGTCCTCTTCAATCTCCATGCACAGTGCCACCAGAGGTGATGACCCCAAAGTACCACTGTAATCTTGATGCTTCTCAGTTGACTCTCATGTTCTCTTGAAAGTACCACATAGGCTTCTTGTGTGTGTCAGTCAGGGCTGTCTTTAAGAAGCTGGTTGAACACAGATTTCATAGACATAGTCAGATGATATAACTGAAGAAGGCCGGTGAATGAGAGAGCAAGACGGGGATGTTTGGGATTAGATGACCTTGTCCAGGCTCAAGATATCTAGCAGTGGAAATTGACATGCAACATGGGAACAAAATGTCAAATTTAAGTTTTAAAAACATTAGCTTTGGTGCCTTGATTGATTTGTGTGATTGAGTCTCAGCATGTCACCTAAGCTGTTACTGAAATCATGACGCCCTTGCCCACCTCAGCCCCTCCCCAAGGGATGGCAATTATAGGTGTGTCCGGCTTCACAAGTTTCTCCCACTGTCCTGAAAAGCCTCTCTTGTTAGAAACTCACCCACCCTTGAAGTCTCAGCTCAGATACTTATTTTCCATAAAACTCTCCTTCAGGGTTTCCCTCTCTTTAGCCAGAAAGCAGGCTTTCTTTTGCTTGGGTTCTCTGTGATCAGTTTTTTCTTTCTCTGGAGCCTCATCCTACCAGATGACTGTGTGTTATTTGATCTATGGGCTCATAAACTTCTTGTGCTCCAACCAAATCTCGTCATCTTTGTGTTACCTCCAACATACGGAGTCTTTTGTGAAACCCAGAAATTACTTTTTAGTGGTGCTGGCCATGGTCATCCTGGTATGAAAAGAGTCCCCAGGTTGATGGGTATTTCAGCCATCACTGTCATCGAACTCACTTGTACTTTATTTCTGCTCACTAACTACTGGCTCATTACGTTATAGTCTTTGCAGAACTTAGTATCCATCTGTTTTGGAAGAGTTTTATTTTTTCTTAATTCATGGCTACATTTAGCCTGTGATTATATTCCATAAACCTCTTAAGCAACTTCTAAATTCCAAAGGGGATAAACAATGAATCTCATTTTTCCCAGAACTGACCCATTATTTAAGACCTTAGTACAATCACAAATACTTAGAAAATGTGGGTTCGGTAGTACATCTCCTGTAATTCTTGGACCATAGAGGGTGAAACAGGAGAATTTTCAGTTTGTGGCTGTGCTACACAGTGTGTTACTGTCTCAAAACAAACAAACAAAATACTTAAGTATGCTTGTGAATATGATTAGAAAATGGCAAATTCATTTTTTATTCTAAATAGATGTTAGTAATAATTAAAATGCTTAGACAAAGATGTTTATTTAAATATTTCAAAAAGATAACATTTGATCCAGAACATAAAGATCCTATATCCTTCTAATCACTGACAGACCATTCAATCTTATTCAATTTCAGTATTGTTTAATTACCTTCTTAGTGATTGCAGATGACAGTTATGGGCAAGTCTGACAGATATATCATAACAAACAGTGTTGTGAGAAGAAGCCCCTTAAAATCTGTATACCCTTGAAAGATGCTCTGAGGGTCAGCCTATAAATGTCACCACTCTACAGGCTTCCAATCTCTATGAGGTTAGGTTCAGTTGCCTTGTCCTTCCCATCAAAATAATACACATTTTAATAACAAAATATAGATACCTGTAAGTTTCAAAGCTCAGTGGTTGGTTGAAAGCTGACAGGTAGGGACCAAGTATTAGCATCTTCCCTGTGGTTGTGTCTTTGGCTTTGGGATGCTACCTCTGAAAGGTGAGCCACACCCAAAAGGACATTTTTAATTGCATAGAAGTGAAGGAGACAGTCTTGAATCCTATGCATCCCGGTAACCCAGGGGTTGCCATGGTTGCTGACAAAAGACGGAATGCTATCTACTAGTGACTGTGTACACCTTTTGTTTTCTGAGGTTTCCCCTGTTAACCCAAGCATTTGTGTTTTATAAGGCCATCAGAGGAGAGAATGCGCCCACCCTCTCCTTGAGTCATTGAAATGTTTATACTGGCAAGTAGGAGCTGGTGTTTTTGAAACTAAAACCCAGTGTGCTGCCATCCCACGTTCAGGATCAGAGGGCATGATTCCTAGCCAGTGTCCATATAAAAGAGAATTATTGCCTGATTTACTCCCTGATGACAACCCATGATATCTTGATTCTGCCGGGTTATAGCTTTCCTGGTAGTCACCAGTTTGTCAGCCAATTTTTTGCTCGCCAGGCTCCATCTGCCCACCATGTCTGGTCCTTCCCTGCATCCCACAGCAACGAAGTCCGCATAATTTGTGCCATCAAGTTTTCTTGTGAAAAATAAAGAGAAAAGGTTATTACAAGATATATTTTAAAAAACAAAATAAAACAGTAAATGTGTGTGTGTGTTTGTGTGTGTGTGTGAATGTATGTGTGAGTGAGTATATGGTGTGTGCATATGTATGTGTGGTGTTTGGTATGTGGAAGTATGTGTATTGTGTGTGTGTGTGTGTGTGTGTGTGTGTGTATTTCATAAAAGGAAAGCTAAAGATAATAAGAATGCCTGTGAAAGTAATCAGGAAATGGAGAGAGTTCATTTTCCATTCTAACACCTCATACATTGGTGTGCTTTGGCACTAGAACACACTAACTATGCCTTCTGTGTCTCCAAGGAATGAGCCTCTTCCTTTAGTCCCACGGGCATGCTCATACTAGAAAAACAGGCTGAACACGTGTGTTCTTGGTGCGTTTCTCCTTGTGGGGTCTCTTGGCTCTTGCAGGAGTGAAGCCGATGTCTCTGGAAGGCAGATTCAATGTGAGAGGACACAATGCTAATTGCCTGTTCCGAAGTCTGTCCAATTTCCAAGGGGCTGTTTTGCTGGAGCTCTTGGTGCTCACAAATTCTGAGAAATATTTGTGGATTTCTCAGGAAGCCAAAGCTCTCTCTTTTGATTCTCATTCACTCTCAGAGGGGAGAAAAAATGATTCATACATCTGAAAAAGCAGGGACTAATTCGACAAGCAGAATTCTACCAAGCCTCTAGCCAGAGAGTTGTTGATCTAGCTCTTTCCATCGCTCCCACATCAGGAGGCTCTGCCTGCAGGAAACGGTACCAAACAACAAAAAGTTCTTTTGCTTGTAGGCATGAAATGGGCATAAGTTTCCTTCCCTT